GGGGGGGGGGGGGGGGGGAGGCAGCAGGCGTGGTGGTGGAAAAGTCGTAGAACCCAAGGCGCTGGGGCGCGGGGCGCAGCGGATACATGACGAAACTCCCACGTGCTCGATCCGATGTGCAACTGCACCCACGTGCGCTGACTCCGCACTACCGCACCTGTGTAGCTGAGACCCCAAGGAACAACAATACCTGCTGGGTCGCTGTCGTCGAAGGCGCCTCCCCCCCAGGACGACCTCGCACCCCCCAGGCTGTCCCCCTGCATGAACACCCCGGCCGCACGTGCGCGCCGCCCAAACGCCCTTCCGCCGCCGCCGCGGCCGGTGTCGCCGACCCGACTGCCCCTGCTGCCCAGCGTGCTGCCCGGGGTGCCAGCAAGGCTGCCGCTGCGCCGCGGCCGGGCCGTGCCGCCCCCTGCTGTCGTGTCGCTGGCTTGGGGGACTTCATCGTGGTGCGGCATGTGGTAGTGGCTTGTGCCTGAGCAGGGGTCCGAGGTGCCATAGACCGAGAGCCGGATGTAATCAGACAGCTCCTCGTGGCCGGCAGTATCGAGCAATACCTGTAGTGTGTGTGTGTGTGTGTGTGTGTGTGTGTGTGTGTGTGTGTGTGTGTGTGTGCGCGCGCACACGGATGCCCGCACATCTGTGTGCATGTGCATGTGAGTACAAGTTTCACGTGTGCACGTGTGCGCGTGTGTGCACGCACGCGGCATGCGCGTGCACGCGCAGGTGATCGGAGAAACCAGGCCCACGCGCAGGTGTGCTCAGGGTCCTGCAATGTGGCTTGCAACTCACCGCCCTCTGTAGGCCCCTTGCTGTGAGGCCTGTCCGGCCTGACTTTGCTGCCCACACCAAAACCAACAGCAGGCCGATTCAAGAAGCCATCCGCCAAGGGCGCACCTGCAACTGCTGCATCTGCTCCCCAGTCGCGCCCCTGGCCAGTTCCGCCAGCCGCGTCGCTGCGCCCACGTCGCTGATGGCGATCGTGTGCAGCCGCGTGGCCCGCAGCTGCAGACGCCGCAGCAGCACGTCTTCCACCACGGCCGTGCCAGAGCGCACCCCTGTGGAGGGCAAGGGGGCGCGGTGAGGTATGAGTAAACCAGGAGCGCAGCCAAAAGCGTGCCTACTCAGGTGGGCCAAACACAACCGGAGGGAAGCACAGCCGGCAGGTATTCTCATCCAGATTGGCTGGATGGTTGGCTGTGTGCAGCAGAGTGCTGAGCAGTTGGTCGCGCGCACCGAGATTGAGGCTCCTGATACCGCCCCACTCGGCTGCCATCAGCGACACCAGCTCCCCACATGCACGCTCCAGCCGTTCTGCTGGCAACTGCTTGCGAGGCAGCCGCGGCACGGGCGCCTTGCGAGGCTGGGCCAGCGGCTGCTGGCGCCAACGCGGCTGTGTGGTAGGGGTGTCGATGACGGTGCAGATGGCGTCATTGGTGAAATTGGCGCTGCGCCTGGGTCGCCCTCCCGTCGGTGTGTGCGCAACAGCAGCAGCACGAGCGTCAGCAGGAGGAGCGTCAGCTGACGCAGCATCGGCGTTGCTGCAGATGTTCATGTATGATGCAGTCGTGAAGGTGATTGCGAGTTGGCGGTCTCGGATAGCAGTAGCTTTTACTCTTCAACTCTGCACATAAACCTGACAATACCGTAACAATGCCGGTTTCAACATGGGCGTGGGTTTGACGGGGCCCAGCGAGCAGAGGATGTACTTTATACAGGGCGCAAACTATCTTTCATCACTCTTACTGATAATTTGTACTGTTGAATTGGCGTCAGCGAGCACACAGCTGATTTGTCACTCAGTGACGCTGCGCAGGAACCAAGCCGCGCCTCACCATCATTCATACTTTGGAAGATCACACTAGGTCGCTTATATACTCTGTATGACACATACAGGCCCGCAAACGATCCTTCTCTTGGCGATCTAGGTGCCCAGAGGCCCGCCTGGGGTCATGGGAGGTAAAAAGCGTCAAGCGGAAGACACAGTCGAGGATGAGGAGGAAGAGCAGGCCTTTCCCCGAGGGGGCGGCGACAAGTTTTTGACGCAGCTCGAGAAGCGGCAGCTTGCTCAGCAGGCAAAAGATGATTTTCAGGAGGAGCAGAAGTCTGGAGACAAGAAGCAAAAGAAGGCGAAGACCTCGGGCGGCAAGGTGAGGCCGCCGCCGCCGGCCAGTGCCGCCGCGTGCCGCTGCCGCCTCCTGCTGCCGCCGCCCCCCCGCCGTAGTTCGTTTCCCTGCAGCCGTTGATGTCCCTCCGCATGCGTTTGTCGCTCCACTCACATACGCACACATCGCGCACTGCCGTGTTGCTCGCCGCGGCCACGCCCGAGTGACGTCCGCGGCCGTCGTGCAACTGTGCCACGCTCTCGTCGCCCGCCCGCTGCCCCCCTCAATAGGATGCAGAGGATGAGTTCTTCTCTGGCGGCCTGGCGGGCAGCAAGGCCGAGCGCTATGTGGAAGTGCTCAAATACAAGGTGGGCGGCGTTGCGCTCGCGGCGGCGTTGCGCTCGCCGCCATCGTCGCCCGAGCTATGAGGGCTACACCCGCCGGCCGCATCCCGCGGCGACTCTCCGGCCGGCAAGGCGGGGCGCTGCGCGTGCGGACGGCCGAGCGTGACCCGCGCTGCAGCGGAGCGCCCGCGGCGCGGCCGCCTGGCAGCGGCTGTGTAAGGGCCGCCTGCGGGCATCTGGGGCCCGGCCCCCTCCCAGGGGCGGCTGCGGGGCCTCTCTCAAAGTGAGGGCCCAATTTTCCTGCCTCAACGTGTGTCCCTGCCGCGCCCTGCCTCATCCGCCACCCCCTTGCCCCCAACCCCACTCCAATTCTCCAATTTATGAATCACAGGCAGTGGCAGTCGGCATGAAGCTTTGGGGCATGATCCTTGAGTGCACCCCGCGGGGGCTGGTGGTTAGCCTGCCCCAGGGGCTGCGGGGTCACGTCGCGCCAGAGGAGGTGAGGGCGGGCAGGCACATCAGACGCTCGCCGGCGCGAGCTGATCGGGCGGGCGGCTGGGTCTGCGGACTGCTCGCGCGGCGCGCCGACGTCGGGCCCCGGCCAAAGCGCCTTCCTCGGTTCGGTGCGGCGGCGGGCGAGACCCGTTGGCTTCCCCTCGCCTCGCCTCGTTTGGGGTGCCCGGCCGCCGCCGCCGCCGCCGCCGCCGCCGCCACCCGCGCCACAACCACCTCCGCCAGCGGTGCGGCTCTCTTGTGCATGCTCGGCCCACCTGCACGCATGCCCACGCACGACGCCGCCGCGTGCGCCGCCGCCGCCGCCCCGGCAGGCCTCGGACGCCCTCAAGCAGATGCTGGACCCCGCGTCCAAGCCCGGCGCCGCCATGCGGAAAGCCTTCCCCGGCGGGCGCGCCCCGGAGCTCCCGGACCTCTTCTCTATCGGCCAGTACGTGCGCTGCGTCGTCACCGCGTTGGGCAGCTCCGACGGCGACGGCGAGGGCGGCGGCAAGAAGGGCAAGGTGCAGCTGAGCCTGCGGCTGCGGCGGCTGTGCGAGGGGCAGGGGCCGGATGCGCTGGCGGCGGGGCGGTGCGTGCCGGCGGTGGTGAGGAGCGCGGAGGACCACGTGTACACGCTGGCGTTTGGCATCAAGGTGGGTTGATTGGGCTGTGTCGCCGGGCGCCTTGCGCCGGCCAGCAAAGTTGGGGATGCAGACCCTTGCCCGGGCTGCAGGCCAGGCAGCAGAGGCGCTTTCGCGGCAGCTGCTGTGCACCCTGGCCGTTGACGACGCGTGTGGCAGGCCGGCCCGCCGCACGCGCGCCGCGGCATCGCCGGCGCCCCCATTGCGGCTCCTCTCGCTGCCCCAACCCGCCTTGCCCCAACCCGCGTCGAGCGACCTCCGCCTTGGCTCCCGCCCTTGTGCGTGTCGCAGGGCGTGAGCGGCGTGCTGCCCCGCAAGGACTATGCGGCTTACTACGGGTCAGACGCGGCCCTCGTGCCCGGCCAGCTGATCGACTGCGTGGTGACCAAGGCGCCCCAGGGGGAGCAGCAGGTGCGCCGCAGGGGCGCGAGGGCGCCGCCGTAGGGTGCATGGGCGCCGCTGGCAGGGGGCCCAAGGGTCAGCACCTGGCGGGCACGGCGGACACGCATGGGATGATGCGACACGTGTCATAGGCAGCGCGTCAGCCATTGTGTGCTGAGCCCCTGGTAGGCTGTTGCGAGCGACGTTGCTGGTTGTCTCGGGGGTGTTGCTATTTGCGCCGGTGTTCATGGCGGCCCACGATGGCACCCTTCCAAACCCGACAGGTGGCGCAGGTCACTGTCAGCCACGACGCGGTGGCCACCGCGACCGTCAAGGACGCGCCGGCAGGCGCGCCGGCCGGCGGCGGCGGCGGCGGCGGCGCGCTGACGCTAGGCGGGCTGCTGCCGGGTATGCTTGTGAGCGTCAAGGTGCGGCAGGTCCTGAAGGACGGCCTGCTGGTGACATTCCTGACTTACTTCAACGGTGAGGGGGCGCAGCCGCCGCTTTTCTGATGAATGCATGAGCTGGCGTCGGTCTGCCGGCAAGGAGGCCCTAAGGAGTGGGGCGACGGGCCTCCGCGTTGGCCGACGCGCGCGCATGGCTCGCCGGCCCGCCACGGCGAGAGGCGCTTTGTGCAAGCGACCGCGCGAATCTGTGGGCGTCACCCCTTGCGGCAGAGTCGGGATGCGGCCGCACCTCAGCAACCTGAGCTCTGCTGTGTTGATTGCTGTGACCCTGCCAGGCGTCATTGATTTGTATCACCTGGCGGAGCCGATCCCTGGGGAGGACTGGGCGGGGCGCTACCAGGAGGGGCAGAAGCTCAAGGTGGGGGGCGGGCCTGATGGGGACGTGGCCGCAGCCGCATGCGTGCGGCCCCGACGTGCATTAGGGGCCGCCGAGCGCGTGAGGAGCGGTTTTGAGGCCGGCGGTTTTGCGGGTCGGCGGCGATTCGGCGGCTGGGCGGTCGGGGGGTTTGGTGCGCCCGGGGCGGAGGTGCAGAGGAGGGATGCCGTTGCGCAAAGCGGCCTCGGTCGCGCTGTGAGGCGCAAAAAAGCACCCATCAGACACGCACACGGCGCCCCTCCACGGCCTGGCCCCTCGCCCACAGGCGCGCATCGTGTACGTGGACTTTGCGGCCAAGCGCGCCGGCCTCAGCCTGCTGCCGCACCTCATCAACTGCCGCATGCCCTCGGCGGTGCCCCAGCTTGGGCAGGTGCGGCGCGGCTCTCCCCCACCCCCCACCCCTGGCC